GATAAAAAAATAAAAAAAAATATATAAAATAAAATAAAATACATCAAAAAAATATTAATAAAAGAAAATAAATAGATAAATAAATAGATAGATAGATAGATAGACAGATAGAGATAGATAGATAGATACATACATAGATAGATAGATAGATAGATAGATAGATAGATAGATAGATTGATAGAGACAGACAGACAGACAGACAGACAGACAGACAGACAGACAGACAGACAGACAGACAGACAGACAGACAGACAGACAGACAGACAGACAGACAGACAGACAGACAGACAGACAGACAGACAGACAGACAGACAGACAGACAGACAGACAGACAGAGATAGATAGATAGATAGATAGATAGATAGATAGATAGATAGATAGATAGATAGATAGATAGATAGATAGATAGATAAAAAAAAAAAAAATAAAAAATAAATAAAAGACCTACTTGTAGAAGACAGCAGTATCTATATATTTATATCCCTGCTTTATGGCCGATATTACAGCATTCTCTGCCTCTGACCCTTCTCCAGGCTCCGATAGAAACATCCCTAATCCAAATAATGGCATCTTCACCCCATCATTCAGGGTGACAGTACTGTTTAACCCTTTAGCTATTGGAAATGACATCTTTAATTTTGTGTCTTTTAGTTTTCTGAAATATTTACATTATATTGAATAAATAATAAGTTGGATTTGATGGTATGAGTATTGGAGATAGTGGATGCCTCAGTAAAAGGTTTAAAGATGGGTTCCCTTATTTTCATTTATGAAAATGAAAATGCTAATACTTATATGAATAGAAAGTAGAGGTGTTCTAATGACTTGGAAAAATACCAGTTTGTCTCACATGTCCATAATTAATTCATAATCAGCTAAATTGGAAGAGAATTACCAGCAGAATTCCAATGAGTGACCGATCAAGAAAAGTCAAAAAGTCCTTTTTTTTTGTATATCCAGACAGTATATACATGGACATTTATGATTGGTTAAAACTCTTATTTATATGCAATAAGAATGATGTGATTAAAAATATGTGATAATTTGCTTAATTTGACACTAAAAAAAGGGAAACCCATCTTTAAGCAAGTCAAAAAAAATTTTCACTTTGCTCAGGCAACAAAGAATTTTTTTTTAACAATTCTTTTATTCCTTAAATTTAAAAAAAAAACCTTAAATGGACTTACTCACTCTAGCCTTGAGTAAAATATAAATTAAATTAAGTAAGTTAAATATGAACCTGTCCTGTATGACAAGGCACATTCACTGAATTAATTACTGATTGTAGTCACTGTTTGATAAGAATCTACATTCAAGGTCCTCCTGATAAAAAAAAAAAATCTCATACTATAGTGACCTAGTTAGTCTCTGGCCATGATAACAATCTCATTAAAATGCAAATCTGGATTTCGTGTCCCATGATCTGTTAAATGCATCTCTTGTCGTTGAATGTTTTGACCCCTTCTCTTTCCCTTTTTGTCTACGACCTATCTATAAATCTGGAATTGGGCGCTACTTCACTTATAGTTTTCATAGTCAGCATATTTGAGTTTTTGACCATGTTAGTATTGGTCAGGCTTCCATGTAACATAAAGGAAACTTTCAACGAGCTTTCTGAAAAAAGTATAGAAGGAAAGAAACCCTACTTGAACAGGTGGAGTCAAAATAACATAACGGGTATGATGAGAACGAGTCATTACGTAATAAGGAATGGTTAGACGAGGCATTTCGTAACATTAGTTACTATGATGTTTCGTAACAGATGATTAAGGAAATAAAAAATATTCCACTTTAGTAACAATATGGATTGTTTTGGCTACAATTTTTCAGCTCAAGGTCATCTGGAGTGCTTTTTAGTGACAATTAGTTTTCGCCAAGATCGTACCCAAAGATTTCAACCCAGTCGGGGGGAGTTGACATGAACAAGTCCAGTCGTTTGGACAGGGGAATAAACGGAGGCCTTTTAGGACCCCGGAGGTTTGGAAATCGAACAACAAAGTAGGATACTGGCACCCTAGTTGATTTCCCTCGCGCGAAATTGGTCTAATCAGTTATCATACCTCCATCCTCCACATCCTTCCGACGACTGCAGGACCAGTCGCCGTCCACCAAATTAGCCATCAATGTCTGACATGTAAATCTAAATTGTTTGAATAAGCTATTTGTAGCGGTAAGATCGGTAGGTAAAACTTAAACGATGTATTGAAATAGGACAAGGACAGAAAACAAGTAAACATCGAGAACAGAAACAGTAAATTTTTCATTTCGTCGACCTTCATAGCTCAAAGAGGGAGAATGCACAAGCTCCAAACAAAAAAACATGTTAGAGGTTAAAAAAACATAGATACATTTTTCAATTTATGATAACTAGGCTTCAATAGAGCAGAGAGTCCACATATTCAGAGTACAAAAAATAATATACTTTTAAGAGAGTCGTCGACTAACTATTAGCTATAACGAACTTTTTTTTATGATACCCTTATCACTTTTCAAATTTAAAACCCAATAACTAGACATAATCATTCTCCAAAGTCGTTTAATTATTGTTCGTTAGTCCAGATGTTTCACGAATTTGGGGGATTCGCTCATTGAAAGTCGAAAAAGGCAAAAAAGTGTTTTCCAAGTCATTGGGGGTCTAATTAGTAGGAAAAGTCCAAAACATGGAGCCAAATCGGTTTATTTGGCAAAGTTAGCTATTGGACGTTTTCCGTCTATATGGCCTATAAGAGCAGAATAATCCGTAGGTATTATCTCGACCTATGCCGGGTGTGGTTGTGGTTGCTTTTGTCTACTGGCACTACTATCCGGGTGGGGCATTTTCATCTCAATCAAAACTTATACCTAGAGCTGGGCGATATTGGTTCAAGTTGATATCACGATATTAAGCATTAATATATCACGATATGGGTATATATCACGATATTTTTTGAGTTTGTTTTTTACTGGTTTTTGAAAGAAAATTATGATCTAGAAATTTTAAATGTAATATAAAACAATAAATATCTGTAAAAACACCCCAGTCTTTAATGTCATGAAAAAAACCATCTGTTTCAACTATTAAGTTACTAGTTAAAATTATGTAGACGATCTTATCTCGACAAAAATATGACTATATATCATGATAAATACCAAATATCACGATATGTCGATATTTCTGTATTTTTTAATCAGGCGATATTATTAACAATCTAAATTCCTGTAGGGTAACATGGGGGAATACGTACCCCCTAAGGACTCGATGCGATTTCGACGAAAGTAAAGACGTAAATTATATTTGAATGGTGTGTAGAGCTTCTGATGCTAGATTGTGAATACCTTCAACTGTCAGTCATATTACTTATTTTCTATTAAATGGCCCCAGGGGAGGGGGGGGGGGCGTCTTACCCCGCTTCCTCTTTGAGACAAGGGATACTTGTTTCCTTTTACAGATATGACTCTAAGATCGACTTCGACTGTGAGGGTATTATATAAGTTCTGGGTTTCTTTGTGTATCAAATAGAATAAGAATAAACCACTGACAGAACATAAAAAGATCGGGTCAGATATTTTAGATCTACCCTCTAGTGACGGGAGTAGGCTATTGCGATCTAACTTGTCCTGTTTTGAAATTACTAAAGATTACCGATATCAGTTATTCATTTATTTCATTTGTTAACACGATGCTATATTGATATACATAATAATACTCAAATCTAATCATCACAAGAATCGCAAGTGAAGGAAATATCAGAAGCTGTAATTCCAGCACAACCCACTTGCGCCCACCCACGACAATTTAAACATCGAATCCAATCTTCATTGCTAGTGGAAAAAAAGCTCGGAGCAATATATGCAACAACATTCGAAATTTGGGATAACTGAGAAATGGTCTCAGCTGGTTTCTTATTATTAGATGCTCTATAAACGAGCGAATTTTGCGCAACAGATCAGGGAAAACAAGATGAAGTGGATGACGATGGACCAGGAGTCAGAAACGAAGACCAGTTTGTCTCATATGTCCATAATTGATTCGTAATAAGCTAAATTAGAAGAGAATAACCAGCAGAATTCCAATGAGTGACCGATCAAGAAAGGTCAAAAGATCTTTTATTGTTTATTTAGCCGTATTCTAAGACATAGTATCCCTTTAAGCAAATCATCTCATAAGAAACCTCAAAAACACAGATAAAGATCATTATTTGATACAATATTGATATCACCAAACCTTTACGACACCCACCCCAAAAATTAGATAAAAACCGACACAAACATTTTATGAACTGTAACTTTTTTTAGTGGGCCTTCAAGTTAGCTACAAAAATGGCGGAAAGTCGTTTGGGATCACGTGACTAACGTAGACAAATACAAACGCCGCCTAGAGGCGTCTTACCCTGAGGGGCGAATTGCCCCAGGTCACCGTTATTTATATCGTGATACCGGTATTATAATATGCTTATACCCCCTCCCTCACCCTTAGTTTCAGAATTTCATTGTTGTGAAACCCTTACAATTCTGTGATCTTTACATCCCTGTCTTATAACACCAACACGGAGGTTTGTCCTCGGAATCCATGATGTAATGTAGAGAAAAAGATACCTCCATATGATGTGTGATGCAACATTAGAGGATGAAAAACAAAGGGAAGACTCATTAATTATTTCAGCCTCTCATTTTTTGACATGATTGTGTCATCTCTCGTCAAACCTGCCTGGCCCATCAATCTCCGTTTCAAAGGATTGTGACAACCATGGGCTTGATGATTAGCTATCTTGTTAGGATGGTTTTTATGTGGTGTATTTCTTAGATGCATGCGTGTAAAAGTCTTTTATATCTAATCTGTTTGTTTTGTTACTTAGGCGTACTGAGGAAGCTAATTGTAGTCTGATTCCAAAAACATATACTAGTAACCTCCCCTTTCTGCCACTTCCGAGGTAAACAAACTGAAAATGGCAGGCAGTGTAACGAAAGGGGGATTAATTACGTTTGCCGTTGGATTAATGTCCGGATTTGCTTTCACGTACATGTTTGCCTTTTCCTCTCTACGAAGTCAACCTGTCCGTATCCTGGAACCGTCGAACAAAGTGTTTTTATCCGGTTTTATTCCCGAGAATCCTCACAGTCATGGGGAAATGGATTTTGTGAAAGGTCCGGATCAGTCAGTAAAATGGATGGACGACCATTCGCATTCTCACATGGGTAAGTAAAAGTATCGCTTTGAAAACTTTTCTTGCATTTCCAATCATTCATCGGGCATATGGCTATCTGGGTTCGGTACTTGGTCAAGACACTATGGTACAGACGTCCACTTTAGCACTCTCGGTTGAATAAAATCTGTACTGTAGACGTGTAGCTATACTTTTTTTCACCCATATTTGTAAATCAAATATATTATTAGTTTCAAAATAGTTAGTCCCATGATAACTTTGGGTTTTTTGAAATATTAACATGAGCACACATTATCACAATCAATCAGTTAGTTGTTTTTGCAGGGGACTAGTTGACATGTTGCTGAGTTTTTCAGCCACTATATTAACATTGGACATTTTGGAATGAAGCCTATCATATTCAATGCCAGGATTTTATATTTTTATCTACATGAAATCATTCTAACCGTTCTATTTTAATATTCCAATTCAATTAAAAAAAAATCAGTAAAATTAGATTTACTTGCATCGGACAGTAATTTTTTTCCTTGTTATGAAACCTATGGCTAATGAGCACAAACTTTGAGTTCTGCTCTTTCACATCTTTATTTTATTCATGCATAGCAGTTTTCAATAACCTACCTGTCACAATTTGCCAAATTTTTTGTAGAAAAGATGGATTTTTAAACAATCATTCATGCATTCACTTGTGACAAACTTTTCAAATTGTTCTTGAATAGAATAAGTGAGTGAGTAGGGTGAATAGAGTGGATGAATGAATGGATGAAAGAGTGAATGAATGAAGAGTGAGTGGAATGAATGAATGAATGAAGAGTGAGTGGAATGAATGAATGAATGAATGAATGAGTGAAAGAATGAATGAATGGGTGAGTGAGTGAGTGAATGAGAGAGAGAGAGAGAGAGAGAGAGAGAGAGAGAAAGAGAGAGAGAAAGAGAGAGAGAGAGAGAGAATAAATAAAACAAAATTTCTCCATTGAATTTTCATTGAATTGATTAAAAAAATTTTTATTAAAAAAAAGTTTATTATGTCAATAATATATGAAAGAAATAAATGAAAAACTAATTTGTTATCATTGTACTGTGAAAATATATTTGTGAGATAATTGAATTGTCAATTTCAGGTGAAACAAGTGAAATTGCTGAACAGCTGGCAAAGAAAGTGAAAGTATTATGCTGGGTGATGACCAGCCCTTCAAATCTTGAGAAAAAAGCCAAACATGTGAAAGCAACATGGGGCAAACGATGTAACATCTTGTTGTTTATGAGCTCGGAAGCTGATCCCAGTTATCCTGCAATCAAACTTCCTGTGTCCGAAGGCAGAGAAAATTTATGGGCCAAAACCAAAGAGGCTTTTAAATTTGTTTATGAAAATTATGTCGATAAGGCCGACTGGTTTTTGAAAGCAGATGATGACTCATATGTGATCGTCGAAAATTTACGCCATTTTCTGAAAGATAAAGATACCAATAAGGGACTATATTACGGTCGTAGGTTTAAGCCTTATGTTGCCCAAGGATACATGAGTGGTGGTGCTGGGTATGTGTTAAGTAAACAAGCTTTGAGAAGTTTTGTAGCAGACGGTCTACCAGATCCAAGGAAGTGTCGAAGTGACAATGGTGGAGCAGAAGATTTAGAGATGGGAAAATGTTTAGGGAATGTTGGAGTGATTGCAGGTGATTCCCGGGATGAACTAGGGCGGGAAAGATTCAACCCCTTTATCCCAGAACATCACCTCATTCCGGGTATTTTACCCAAAACCATGTGGTACTGGCACTATAATTTTTATGAAGCCAAAAATGTAAGTATTAAAAAATTCATAATGTATTCAGGCTCTAAACTATTTCGAGAGCAGTGGCCGTCAGGGGCGCAGATCACTTTTCAATGGGGGGGGGACCAGTGGCGTATGCAGGATTTATTCAAAAGGGGTTGGACAGTAGGTGCGAATTCGATTGCAGAGTATAGCGGCATGAGAACGTTTCTGTTGAGCTGGTGGTGTTAATTTTCACCTAGGTGATAATTCAAGGAATAAATAATTAAAAACCTTGAATTTTCCGCACGTGAAAATAATTTTTGATTAAATTTGCTCGTCACTCGACCATAAATTGTTACAATAGTGCACCACAGACGCAAAATTTCAACACTTTGATGTGCTCGGATGCCAAATTGTGCCTAATTTACGTCCATTACAGACATTCTACTCAACCAAGCTTGATCATTTGTGGGGGTGGGGGGCACAGGATATCATGTCCCTCCAGGTTTTCTGATGGGGGGACGTGTCCCCTGTCCCCCCCATGATCTGCGCCCATGGTGGCGGTGGTCAAATGAGCAGATAGATACCTATCTTAGGTTAGTTTGACCTCAAGGATAATGATCCCCTCAGAATGTCAGTCAGTGATGTTGGTAGGAGGGCGATATTGAAAAAGCATCTGTGGTTTTTTTTAATGGGACAAATCAAAGTCTCAATGCTTCAGACTGAGTCAAGAATGGTCAAGATCCCTTGACGTTTGAAAATTGCAAAATAAAAAGTATTGGTACGCTAATGCATTTGTTCTTGCAAATTTTTTCTAATTCCAGTCATTGCAATGTCTCTCTCATCTTCATTAGACCATGCAGATGCAAGATGTTAAAAAAAATTTTCTGTTAATATTTCAGGGCCCAGATTGCTGTAGTGATTATGCCATCACGTTTCATTACGTACCCCCAAACATGATGTACGTCATGGAATACCTTATATACCATCTTAAACCATTCGGTGCTCGCGTTCAACAGATATGTTCAAAGGACGAACCAAAGGATCCCAAAGTGCCAGCCTTACATTCCACCAATCAAAGTGATAAAAATCAATCGAAAATCGTATCAAAATTTATGCAAAAACCTAATCAAAAGTATTTAGACACTAATGAAATAGAGCCAAAGAATGGGTGACTTCGAGGGTATTGTAAAATTTTTCAAAATATTTTTTTAAATATTAATTTTGTTATGATTAAATATTTATTCAGTTATGCTTAGTCTAGTTCAATGGTAATTGATGAGCCTTATTTCTTTCCAATTTTTTAAAGATGGGTTCCCTTATTTTCATTTATGAAAATGAAAATACTAATACTTATATGAATAGAAAGTAGAGGTGTTCTAATGACTTGGAAAAATACCAGTTTGTCTCACATGTCCATAATTAATTCATAATTAGCTAAATTACCAGTAGAATTCCAATGAGTGGCCAGTCAAGAAAGGTCAAAAAGTCTTTTTTTGTTTATCCAGACTGTACATACATGGACATTTATGATTGGTTAAAACTCATTATTATATGCAATAAGAACATAAAGATATGATTAAGAATACATGATAATTCATTAGAAACACCTATTAATCACTTAGTTTGCTTAATTTGACACTAAAAAATAAGGAAACCCATCTTTAAAAGGTTTCAAAGGTTTGATTAACAGAGATGTCATGTTGTATATATTCAACTTTCATGGGATAAAGTTGGGTTTACACCTGAATCAAAACATAAACACAAAAAAATGCGCTCTATTTCGGGTTGGTATAAGTAATAATTAACAATATTAGTCTGCCTTGTACAGGTACAATAACAATATAGTTTTTCTGTTTCCATATCTCTAACACTTAACATTTTTTATGACATATCGTGGGTGACCGCTTGAAACTTCGTATATGCCATATTTGGTCATTTTGACTTTTTGGTACCGTTCGAAAGCTCGTAAAAGCGTGGATCTTGTGATCAAAACCTCGTATTCTTAGCTTGATTGTAAATAACTCAAAAAGCACTAATTAAATAACACGTATATAAACAGTCAGATTTAAAACCTTGTAAAATATATTATTATACGAGGTTCAATGTTGCTTTTCTGCTGATGAAAATGAAAAACCTCGTATACTGTATTATTATACGATTTTTTGGTTCAATATGGAGAACTCAAAATGTTATACATGGTTTATATTTTCAAAGAATGAAAACCACGTATAGCGGTAAAAAAAATAATAAAAAAGATTTTAACAAAATACGTGTACAAATAGTTTTTTGCGTTTTTCTCGAAAAGTAATTTCGTTATACGAGGTTTCAAGTGGTCACCCATGATATTGTCTTTGATATCATAGATTGGGTAAAATTTGTTTTGAACAGTGTTTGCAATTATGGCTGTCGTCTGTACATTTTATTAAATTGCAGACAAACTAAATGTCTTTTAAGAAACAACAGTTTTATGGATATGGGCTTCTTATCAAGTGATAATTCGTATATTGAAACGTTGTGTTTCAAAAATAAATACAAGTCTATATCCATAAAACTGTTTTTTCTTCAATGTGCTGTGATACTTCTAACTGTTTTACAAGGATTAAACTAAATGTCATGTTTTTATTTTGAAAAGTGATACTGGTAAATTAAATTGAGTCAATAAGAGTACATTATAGTTTTATAGATAATTTATTTTGGATTATAGAGAGATTCTGTTGTATAGATAAGTCCACTGATGTACAAATTTCACCCTAGTTTAAAAATTTCTTAGTTCAAAATTTTTTGAAATCTTAAGAGGTAGTATATCTTTAAAATAACCTGTGCTGGGCAACAGAAATGCAACTGAACAGCACAATGGGTTCTTACAGCAGACCATTCATTTAAGTTGTCTTTTGTTTTGTCATTTGATTTTGTATATTATGTATTGGATGAAGATAATGGAAATATGCCAGACTTGCCTTAAAGTGCTACTACGTCTTAGAATTAACATAAAATTGAAGAATTTTAAACTTGGCCAATAAGAGCCAGTAGATATACCTGGTGTCATAAATAACATAACAGGATCCTTATAAAATCTGATAAATCCAAAAAACTTAATAAATCATTGTAATTAACTATTGAAAAACGCTTAATATCAAGATTAAGCGTTTTTCAATAATTACTTAGTTTTATGAATTTTCTAATTTTCTAGATTTTACAGGGATTCTGTTGTAACTTTATGACACCAGGTAAGTTCACTGATGAATATATACTCATATTGACCATTCTTGAAAACTTAAATTTTATGTTCATTCTAAGACGTAGTATCACTTTAACAATGTTAAACTAATGTTTTGTGCTAACTGAGGATGTGTATTTTTATATTGATTTATCAAAGAATATGAGTTGACAGCCAACATCTAACCCTTGATAAATCATGTTTATATATTTATTTCAAACTTTTTGAGCTAATTATTCAATTGATCATGTTACATAGTCTGCCAAAGCTAATGCTAAAGAAGTGAACCTATCTGGGAGACACACCAGTCTCCTCTCACTTCCATTTACCGAGACACTCAACCAACTCAGCACCAACCCAGACCTAACACAGTCTACAGCCAATAGGCCCTCCATTTAACTCCATTGGATTATCAGATTGCAAACTTTCCAATGGGATCAATGACAAATCTAAAGTTGGACACCCCCACTTCTTTCTTTGTTATACACATGGAGTAAGTCATGTGAAACCAAAGAATAACGGTGCACAGTCTGCCCTAAAACTTTGAATTTTAACCCCCTTGTTATTCGTGGTTTTGTACATTGAAACTCCTCAGTTTCCATCCAAATTTCCTCAAAATAGCAATGTGATCCAATATCTATTTTAGATTCAAAATGTATGAAAGTATCCCCCGCAAAAACCTCGTTTTATTATGTTTGTACGTGTATTTTAAAACACTTTTATTGTTTTTATGTAAGTAGTTTAGATATATATATTTTTGAAAGGCTGAATAATATTCTAAATATATGTTATCCATCTAATGGCCCAAGCAGATGACTATCTACCCCATTGAGTAATCAACTTCGTCTTATACCTTGAATGCAATAGCCACCTTTCGTGTGTGACAGAAGTTTGTGAATGCCTCAACAATGAACATTATTTTACATTCTTTTTGTCATGGACTCCGATTGCTTGTTTTCGCTGGCGTACGATCCAATCAAATTGCTGCATTCTGTGATAGGTTATGATAACGTGGCTATTCCGGTCAAGGTAGGTCTATGCGACATTGTATACAGTACAAACTAACAGTGGAACTTTTTATGCTTTACAAGGACATTCTTTCCGATCTCTGAAGGATCTTTCCGCACATCAACTTTACTGCACACAGTGATCGGCACTGGTAGATAGCAGAAGTCGGCCCAGTATGCGTTTTGATAATCATATTAGCCACAAAAATTGGTCGGAACCAATCATGTTGTTGGGGGACCGGTCCCGGTACACTGTCTATTGAATGCATTTGCTTCGACTAGGTCTTGGGAGTCGCGGTGGCTCAGTGTGTTAGACGCTTGCTCGCTAACCTGAAGGTCCAGGGTTCAATCCCGGCATAGGTCGAGATAATACCTTTGGATTTTTCAACCTGGTTTCCCCCTGTCAGTGATGCAGATAAGAGGGGCTGACATGAAAAAAGCGTCTAGTCGTTCGGATGGGACAATAAACCGAGGCCTTGTGTGCTTACAGGATGTGTACGATAAAGATCCCTCGACAGTTGGAAATCGAAAAAAGGGAAGGCTAATGCCGCTGTTCTGGCAAAATTTCCCTCATTGCACCCTGCATGGCGTTGCCCGTCTTCATTAGCCCACATGGTGCAGAAAAGTAGGACGTAGGCTAAATCTCCATTCATTTCATTTCATTTTTCCACTAGCTCTCAATAGACTAAAAATAGGACACACACGTGGTTGTCTCTTGTCAATCTATTCAAATGCTTTAATTATGCGAATCGAGTTGGTTTACCACTTGAGCAATACTTAACACTAACCTATTCAAATGCTAACTGTGTGGTCTAGTCTAACAGTGACTAACTCACTACATGACCTAGTAGGCTAGGTGCAGAAAAGTAAGACGTATAGGGCCTAGCCTAAAACTCCCTTTCATTTGATTTATTTATATCAATACGGGATATCCACTATCGTATACCGTACCTCGTCTATTTGCATCTTTTGTCGTGTACCGATTATAATAAATGTTGTCGGTTTACCAGCAGTTAGATACAGGTCCGCTCACCCGAATGTCTTCTATAGACAGCCTACAGGAGGCGACCTTTGGATTGTTCATGCGAATTAGAGTAGTCACTGTTTGTAGAGTTTCCCTCATTGTACGCCTAATGGCGTTGCACATTTCCACGAAGATCAAAAAAGCAATCAATAATATCAACGTTAATGTTGCTAAAGTGTAGTAGTTATTGTAATTTCTTAAATCCGAAACTACGGTTATTCGATGAATGAAGGTGAGATTTCTAGCTCCGTATGAAGCTCTATGACGTCACGAAACTGTGACGTCACATGACAACTCCAGGAGCCACTTCCGTTGTTACTTCAACGTCAAAAATGGCTGCCTGGAAGTTTATTTTCAAGGGAAAAATCAAATAATTGAAGAAACAATTTTGTGAATAATGGCTATTTACAGTTGGGATTGTGTATCGTAAGTTCTTCCGTACCCAAGAACACAAACTTTGCAAACAGTATCTAGTCTAGTCTGTTTAAAATGGCGGCCGAGGAAGTTGAAGGCCCGTCGCGAGTGAACAGCGATACTGTTCAGACATTCTTGAACAAAAATCCCGAATACGTTGAAAAATGGTTGAAAATGAACGCTACTCCCGATTTAATGAGTAAATTAGCTCCAAAGAAACCACCAGCAAAGATAGAAGCCCCCAAGTTTCTGAATGTGGCCAAAAATGTTGTCACAAACAAACTTTTAAAAACCTTTCTGGATGGAACAGATCAGAAGAGTTTAAGTGACGTGAAAGTCATGGAATCGAGTGATTTGAAGGATATGAGGGGAGAGGAAGTGTTTATGCAACTAGTTCGAGACATCGCGTGTGAATTGAATGTGGATGTCTTGTGTCATAAGATTTTAAGGAACGTGAGTCTTCTGACACATAGTGATCGGGGCAGTTTGTTTCTATCTAGAGGGACAACAGACAATAAATTCCTGGTCTCTAAACTATTTGATGTCACAAAGTTCTCCAATTTGAAAGAGTGTTTGCACGATGACGAGAAAGCTATTAAGATTCCTTACGGAAAAGGTATTGCTGGGCACGTTGCCCAAACTAAAGAGTACATCAATATCCCAGAAGCCTATGATGATCCGAGGTTCAACAAGGAGATTGATGCCAAGACCGGATATAGAACACACAGTATCTTGTGCATGCCAATTTTAACTGCTGATTGCGAGGTCATTGGAGTAGCACAAATTATAAACAAAACAAATAGCGACAACCATGCTTTCACTCCGGAAGATATCAAAATATTTGAAAAATATCTCATATTTTGTGGGATCGGTATAACGAACGCACAGCTGTTCGAAATGTCTGTCAAGGAATACCAACGAAACCAGTTGCTATTGACCTTAGCTAGGGGTGTGTTCGAAGAACAGAGCAACTTGGAAAGACTTTGTCAAAAAATTATGGTAAACGCTCAGGGTATTGTGCAGTGTGAACGCTGTAGCATTTATCTACTGCAGGATTTCATTGATGCTAAGGTCAATGATAACGGCGAAACATCTGCAGATACGAAACTTGGTACCTATACCAGTCCTAACGACGTGGTATTTGGTAAAGCGTTTGATCTGTTCGCTACAGATACCGAGAACTTGGTCGGTTTGTCCAAAGCTGATATTGCCAAATCAAAAAATGCGGATTTGGGTAAAGGTGTGGTGGTTAATAAAAAGTTAGTCAACGTTATAGACCTTGAGATGGATCCTCGGTATGGAAAAGCATATTTTGTTGATGAAAGCGGCTTTAAGACCAAGAGTTTGATGTGCATGCCCATCGTGGATAATAAGTGTAGAGCTATAGGGTGTACACAACTCATTAACAAAAAGAACCAACAACCCTTCACAGAAAACGACGAGAATATCATGGAGGCTTTTTCAATATTCACCGGACTTGGAATACACAATTGCCAAATGTACGAAAGTGTCTCTAAATTGATGGCAAAACAGCGAGTGGCTTTAGAGGTATTGAGCTACCACGCTGGACCACCGGTGGAAGAGGTATCTAGTTTGGTCGAGGCTGAGATCAAGAAGCCAAAGGAGTATGATGTAGGCCTATACCATTTTGATTTCGATGAATTCTTTATGGACGAGTTCGAAACGCTATGTGCCACTATGTGTATGTTTAAAGAGTTGGACGTGGTGAACAAATTTAATGTACCTTACGATGTCATTTGCCGGTGGGTATGTAGCGTCAAAAAAAACTACAGAATTGTCACGTATCATAACTGGCGTCACGCTTTTAACGTCGCGCAAACCATGTTTACAATCTTGTTTACTGGTGGCCTCTCAAAATTTTTCAATGATTTGGACATGTTTGCTCTGATTGCAGCTTGCCTCTGTCACGATTTAGACCACAGAGGCACCAACAACACCTTTCAAGTCAAAGTGGATTCACCACTCGCTGCACTGTATTCCACATCAGTTATGGAACATCATCACTTCGATCATTGCATCATGATCCTCAATAGTGAAGGCAACAACATCTTCGGAAGCTTGCCAGCAGACAAATACAAAGCGGTTCTCAAGATTGTCGAACACGCCATCATTTCCACAGATTTGGCCCTGTATTTTGGGAAGAGGGGGAGTTTCAAAGCTCTGATTGATAACGGAGAGAAAGACTTTTCCTCCGGAGCCAACAAAGAAATTTTGAAAGCTATGATGATGACGTCATGCGATGTAGCTGCTATTTGCAAACCATGGGAGATTCAGTTCAGAACAGCTGATTTGGTATCTGCAGAATTCTTTGAGCAGGGTGACATCGAGAAAACTCAGCTGGGAGAGGCACCCATAGCTATGATGGATCGAGAAAAGAAAACAGATCTTCCGAAGATGCAGATGGGATTCATAGATGCCATTTGTACGCCAGTTTATGATCTTTTTGCAAAACTTGACCCTAAAATGAAGCATCTATACAACGGGGTCATGGATAATAGAGCTAACTGGGAAAGACTGTCGGAAATAGGCATGGAAAATGTGGAACAACTAAGCGAAGAAATAAACTCTGGTAAAATGGGTCAGAAGAGGAGTACCCCACAGAAAGTGGTTTCAAGATTGTCGGATCCTATACCAGAACCAGGTTTACCTAGACCCCCACCTCAGGTAATTACTGGTAAACCCAGCCACCCCAATAAGTCTAAACCTAACAAAACCAAACCGCCACCGTCTGAAAAGAAAAAATCCAAAACCTGTATCGTTTTATAATGAATCGTTTTCATGGGACATCTTGAACCTTGCGCTTTTAAATTGAAACCATACGGTCGAGTATATATGTCAAGGGTGAACTGTTTAAAACCTGTGGACGAGAAGTTACTTCTGCTTATGTAAGATTCTCTTGTGTAGTTATACGTTCGATGTGTATAAAAATTATAAATATATTTATGTCAAAGGCATCCTACCTTTTTTTCTTGATCCCAGGCCTGTGGGTTTTTTCCAATCAAGCTATTGGGAGATTTTGAAGAACTACTCATCCACCAATCCCTCCATTCTATGCTTATCATGATCATTCTGCAGTGGGTTTCAGTCTCCATTGAATATCTTGTCATTTTCTATGATATCCATGACCGTGCTGTAAGAGAATATGAAGAACTAAGCAGAGATCGGTCTTGCTTATTTTGCCTTTGCTGTTGAAAGGATTATTTAGGCGTCAAGACTACCTCTTCAAGTCTTGCAAATAACCTTCAGAACCGTATTTCAATAGTCCAGAAGTTCCAAAAATGAACTTCATGGCGTCGGTGAAGAGATAAAGAGTCCTCCTAACAACCCGCCTAACCCTTCCACGTTCAACTCCCCTCCTCCAACTGGTGGTGTTTTGAGCCTTGAATATAAATAGTCATCAGAAGAACCAGAATTGTACGAAAATCAGACAATCCCTTCGAAAATACCCAATGCTAGACATTTCAAATCCATTTATGAATTTAATTTCTACATGGCAAAATCTGTAGACAAGGCGAGTCGTCAATAGAACTTTTAAACGGGAATAACTATGAACATACATCAATAAAAAGGCTTAACTATTGACAGCAGTCTAATTAAAATTAGACCAAACTTCCGTTCGTATTTTATTAGTTTCGTTTTTAATGTTTTATTAGCTATTAGCTTTGTACGTAACCACTACAGTAAGGTCTAACACTGTCCTTATCAACTTTTCATTCTGTTAACCTTTGCTTGACCTCTGTTTTAACCAATCTCGTGGCTGCCCTTTCCAGAGACGGGATAATGTGACGCGAACAATAGGCGCATTCCGGGGCGTATTAGACTTGATAAGCTAGTGAGTGTTAACACTATTACTGATTAGCTGAGCTCAGTCCTTTTTCTGGTATTAAGGTACGATTGATCAGACCGAATGGTGAACGTGCACCTTTGATTTAGAAAGGGTCAGTCGGCAAAGCGAGACAGTTGAACAAACGTAGGTATGTAAGTATGACAACACTGATCATCCCAAGTCTATAAATAGACTTATATATTTGAACAGGATCAAGAGGCTACTGCGAACTTTTTAATTGTACTTTAAATGTAGAGACATTTGAAAAAAAAAGCTTGAAAATGGAGCTGAAAGGTAAAGTCGCCATTGTTAGCGGGGCTGCCGAGGGTTTCGGGAAAGCATTCGCCGAAGTTCTTTTGTTAAAGGGATGCAAGGTAAGAAAACCCCTTTTATATTTTAGAAAATTACTTAATCTTAATTCGTATTAGTGGTTGGATTACTATTTGAAATGTACTCAAACGATAAAAGGGGATAGAAAAGAAGCCCCTCATATTATCGAAGAACGGCAAATTTCCTGGTAACGGTTCAATCAGACATGCCTTCATTGCATCTGTATACAGGAGTGGTCATTGAGGTAGGCTACAATCGAGGAAATCGAAGAGTGAATTTTGTGCTCACTCTTCCGGAAAAACTGATGTCTATTTGGGACTGGTTTGTCAACTTGACACCATTATAAAAGATCGTCCACGCAGTATGGTATAGGCCTACTACTTTATAAGTAATTTAAATGGGCACGCCATACTAAAATATTGTTGGTGACTTCATAAAGATATTTGGTTAACACGTCGATATGCAGTGCTCAATTCTAGCTATCTGTATCACTGCATAAGGAATAGTCTGGTTAATTTGCACTTAAAGATGGGTTCCCTCATTTTCATTTATGAAAATCAAAATGCTAATACTTATATGAATAGAAAGTAGAGGTGTTCTAATGACTTGGAAAAATACCAGTTTGTCTCACATGTCCATAATTCATAATTAGCTAAATTTGAAGAGAATTACCAGCAGAATTCCAATGAGTGACTGATCAAAAAAAGGTCAAAAAGTCTTATTTTGTTTATCCAGACTGTAAATACGTGGACATTTATGATTGGTTAAAACTTAAATTATATGCAATATAATAAATAATGATATGATTAAGAATACATGCTAATTCATTAGAAACACCAATTAATCAAATAGTTTGCTTAATTTGACACTAAAAAATAAGGAAACCCATCTTTAAGAAACGAATAATATTATAATTGACGAATTTGCGTTTTATTTTGTGATTATTCGATCTACGAAGTCGGATTTTAACGATTTCACGAATAGCGCTATATTAAATTGACTGCAAATTTGTCTTTTGAATGTGTCCTTTCTTATTTCGCCAGGTTTGTTTATGTGATATCAATGCCCCCCTCGGTCAGAAAACTACTGGTATTTTTGAACAACGTTTTGGTAAAGAAAACGCCATATTTGTAACATGCGATGTTACAGTTGCTGAGCAATTTGCAGGTAGACATAAACTTATTGCCTTCCATTTTTTTTCTGTAATTCCTGCAATTCCACTAAAACTAAGTGTGACAAATCGCAAAATATGCTTTATCAGATCGATCGCCTTAAGTTGGAAAGATGCAGCTTGATGCTATATAAGTGTATCCAATACACATAATTTTTTTTAAGACAACCTCTTTACAACCCCTTTAATATTAAATATTGTTTCGTTGTTGTACGATACCCATCATTGAAGTCGGCTACATGTTGGATAATGCAGCATTCAAAATACAACAAACATTGCATTCGGTTATTCTCGGCAGTTTCCGTAAGGCCGAATCGGAATTTGTTACAGAACGATTAGCGCATAGCTTTTACGGTAGGCAGTTTGCTAATAGGACTGAATGTCTGTTATGCATATCACCTAACACAGGAAGAAAGTTGACTGGCGGAAGTAACAGTGTAGTCTTAGACCACCCGCCCCTGTCTATAACAATCCAACTACCAACTAGGCCCTACTACTACTACCAACAACTACTTAGTTTGCGATATCAGCATCCACTGGAAGCGAACGTTAACTTGTCATCTACCTACCTATCCCTATACATTGTCTTTCAGATGTTTTTAAGAAAACAAAGCTTGAGTATGGGAAGATAGATATTGTCGTCAATAACGCGGGAGTTGCTAACGAGAAAGAATGGCGGCAGACGATAATGGTCAATCTGGTAAGGCTACCTTAAACACAAATATAAACATGACCATTTCCAGGAATATGATGGGTAACATATATTATAAAATGCTCTAAAGGATTAATAACGTGGAACTGAGGTGGCAATATAGCCTGTTTTAAAGATGTGTTTCCGTGTTTTTTAGTGTCAAATAAAGCAAACTATTTGATTAATTGGTGTTTCTAATGAATTATCATGTATTCTTAATCATATCATTATGTTCTTATTGTATATAATAAAGAGTTTTAACCAAACATAAATGTCCATGTATGAACAGTCTGGATAAACAAAACAAAAAGACTTTTTGACCTTTCTTGATCGGTCACTCATTGGAATTCTGCTGGTAATTCTCTTCTAATTTAGCTAATTATGAATTAATTATGGACATGTGAGACAAACTGGTATTTTTTCCAGTCATTATATCATCTCTACTTTCTGTTCATATAAGTAAAAGAATTTTCATTTTCATAAATTAAAACAAGGGAACCCATCTTTCTAACTTTACTAAAACTTCTTTTGTGGATTATTGGTTTCCTCTCAAAAGCACACACCGTATGTCCGTGAAAGTAGGGTACCCGTCGGATTTAAGAGTCGGTCCGATCCCCGTAAAAGCCTATGTCTGTAATTGTTCCCTATTTTTTGACATTTGTATTACAGATAGGTTCAATGCAGGGTACAGAGCTAGCTGTAAAATATATGAGTAAAGAAAATGGCGGACACGGAGGTGTGATAATTAACATAGGATCGGCAACAGGTACATCTTGTATTAGCATTCCATTTATTTAAAGTCTCGTGTATGCATCAATCCAAAAGATAGTGGATCACAGCCATATACGCTCACCACAGCATGCGGATGGTAAATATTCAAGATTTTGGGGCGAGGGCAATAACTCTGCTTCTAACGGTCGAAAATAGCTCAAATTCGAACTTGATCTTCGTTTTATGAATATGTATACACATACCGAATTTCAGTTGATTTCATCAAAAAATCTAGTTTTTAGTGCGTTTACAAGCAAATGTTGACGGAAGGACAGGGGTGCCGACAATATACGTCCACATAGAGAGATGTGGGCGTATAAAAACAGAAAGTAAAACTAGGCCGATGCCTTGAGAATAAGCGTTGCTTATGATGGATTGCAAAAATGAGTGGTTTCTTCGTAGCGAGGACCAAAGGGCCGAGGCTCCTTGAGGCCTGGAAGATTTCAGATGGCATTAGATGGACTCAAAACATTGAGAGTGCTAAATTTAAGACCCTTCACAGGCCTGAGGTAGGGGCCCAATGGCTCAGCCCTTCAATATGCCACTGGTTTTGGACGTCTTGAAAAGACAATGATAGACTAATTTTTTGAGAGAATTTGCTCCTATTAACTACCCCCCTTACCCCTGTAGTAATTCAATGTATACATGTATATCACAATGATATGTGGGAGCCGCGGTGGCTCAGTGAGTTAGACGCTTGCTCGTTAACCTGAAGGTCCAGGTTCAATCTCGACATAGGTCGAGATAATACCTTCGGATTTTTCAACCCGGTTTTCCCCCTGTCAGTGATGCAGGTAAGAGGGACTGACATGGAAAAAGTGTCTAGTCGTTCGGATGGGACAATATACGGAGGCCCCTTGTGCTACAGGCTGTGCACGTTAAAGTTCCCTCGACAGTTGAAAATCGAAAATGAGCAGGCTAATGCCGCTGTCCTGGCAAAATTTCCCTCATTGCACCCTGCATGGCGTTGCCCGTCTTCATTAGCCCACATGGTGCAGAAAAGTAGGACGTAAAACTTCATTTATTTCATTTCATTTGACAATTTCAGGATTTGAACCAGTGTTTTTTATGCCAGCATATGCTGCCTCAAAACATGGACTAATTGGATTTACAAGAAGTTGGTCTGTAAGTAAACGGTGTTGGGTTTCCACACCTTTGTTTTCTGGCACTATTCAACCCCTCGACATGCAAATGTCGATCAAAAATCACAAAATGTTTGCACAGTCGACAGACATGTCAAAATCCACAAGCAAGATTTTATCATACTACTTTTGAACTTTTCCATGTTGGATTTTCATTCGAACACCAAACATGGATAACTAAATTCGAGCTTTTATCTGACAATATATTGAAGATGGGTTTCCTTATTTTTATAGTGTCAAATTAAGCAAACTATTTGATTAATTGCTGTTTCTAATGAATAAGCATGTATTCTACATCATATCATTATTTTCTTATATTGCATATAATTAAGAGTTTTAACCAATCATAAATGTTTATGTATGTACAGTCTGGATAAACAAAAAAAGACTTTTTGACCTTTCTTGATTGGTCACTCATTAAAATTCTGCTGGTAATTCTCTTCTAATTTAGCTAATTATGAATTTATTATGGACATGTGAGACAAACTGGTATTTTTCAAAGTCATTAGAACACCTCTACTTTCTATTCATATAAGTATTAGCATTTTGATTTTCATAAATGAAAATAAGGGAACCCATCTTTAAACAAATACACGTCATCGGCGGTTGATAAATATCTTGTAGTAGGACTTACGGTGAATTCTCTTGCTTTTACTTTTAGCAAAATCCCAGCAATGAAGCTAATGGTTTAAGATTTGCTTGTCTCTGTCCAGCGTTTGCCGAAACCAACCTAATACGATTTACAGAAGGGACAACCTTATCCAATTCTACTGCTGAAGCTTTGCTGAAAGAAATAGGCGTCGTCAAGTAAGTTCATTGTTACATTTTTTACAATGAGGGCTGGTGTCATTTCGCTTCATGGTTTGTCAATTCAACTAGGACACCAATTAGTTAATAGGGAGCCGCGGTGGCTCAGTGAGTTAGACGCATGCTCGCTAACCTTAAGGTCCAGGGTTCAATCCAAGCATAGGTGAAGATAATACCTTCGGATTTTTCATCTCGGTTTCCCCCTGTCAGTGATGCAGGTAAGAAGGACTGACATGGACAAAGCGTCTAGTCGTTCGGATGGGACAATAAACCAAGCCCCCCTGTGCTACAGGTTAATGCCGCTGTTCTGGCAAAATTTCCCTCATGGCACCCTACATGTCATTAGCCCACATGGTGCAGAAAAGTAGGACGTAAAACTCCATTCATTTCATTTCATTTCTAATAGCTGTTAATACTAATTCATAATTACCTTTTTTTAAACAATTCGGTATGAAACTTAGTCACCTTTCAAAGAGTCAACACTGCTAATAAAACTCGTCATCTTTGCGAAATTGTTCGGATGGGACAATAAACCGAGGCCCCGTGTGCTACAGGCTGTGCACGTTAAAGATCCGAAAAAGAACAGGCTAATGCCGCTGTCCTGGCAAAATTTCCCTCATTGCACCCTGCAATGCCCGTCTTCATTAGCCCGCAAGGTGCAGAAGAGTAGGACGTAAAACTCCATTCATTTCGTTTCATTTCATTTCATTTCTTTGCAGAAATTGAGATAACTAAGCGTATCAGCTTAAGCAGGCTTATATGCTCTGGCCATGTTCGAGGTTCGATATGTATATTTAACAGGATTGTCCGCTATTTTCAGGATGTCACAAGTCGTGGAGAGTTTCATGGAATTGTTAGCAGACGAGTCTAACAATGGTGCCGTATTGAAATTAACACTAGACGACGGGGCAGAATACATGTACAGGGATGCGCGTTAAGCTTAAGAGTCGTGTTCTGTCAAGGGCATTACGAGTCTTCCACTTGCAGCCCTTGATCCGTATAAGTCATATTTTTGTCACCACATTTGATTAGTAATTTTCGTTCTCAACCAATAAGATTCATTATAGCAAAATATTGCACGAAAATGATTCTTCGGAGCTGTAAAGTTATGAGGACGTATATTTCCGTATCCATCTCCGTCGATCCGTCGGTCCTTTCGTCCACAATAGGTTTGTTGTCTAGGTTGATATGGGTGAGATCTATTGACTCTGGTCACCAACCGGTAAACGTTTACAAGCCTTGATATACTGAGAATATAAGGTAAGTGGGCGTTGCCGCGGTGGCTCAGTGAGTTAGACGCTTGTTCGCTAACCTGAAAGTCCAGGGTTCAATCCTGGCATAGGTCGAGATAATACCTTCGGATTTTTCAACCCGGTTTCCCCCTGTCAGTGATGCAGGTAAGAGGGGCTGACATGGAAAACGCGTCTAGTTGATCGGATGGGACAATAAATCGAGGCCCCATGTGCTACAGGCTGTGCACGTTTAAGATCCATCGACAGTTGGAAATCGAAAAAGAGCAGGCTAATGCCACTGTCCTTGAAAAATTTCCCTCATTGCACCCTGCATGGCGTTGCCCGTCTTCATTAGCCCACATGGTACAGAGAAGTAGGACGTAAAACTCCATTCAATTCATTTCATTTAGGTAAGTGGGCGTATCTTTTTTGGCAACAACTTGCTACCTGAAGGGTTACATGTGGACGACTCTTGGTCCCTTTGACAGAGCAAATGAGCTATATTATACATATCCAACAAGACATTATAAGCCTGCTGTAAAGGCATGTCATGCTGTATCCAAAACATCTACCCCCTTTGCGATTGTGTTTCTCGCGTATTTGAATCGGGAATAAAAAATTTTTATTGAGTTGATCTGAACTTGTTGGCCTCCTATCTCGACTTATTCTGTTCCCTTATAGACAGATTTGATGTCGACCCAAAGGCTATAGAAGGCCTATAGGAAAATGATTGGTCGAATCGGTGACCAATCCATTCTTTACATGTCGTGAGATCTGGGATGAGTGAAGAAACGCATGGAAAATGAACAGAAAGATCAAAACGCCTGTTTACATTGGCGTTCTGTGATCTGGGCCAGGCCCGCTTTAAACGAAAATAAGCGTTCGCTCTCTAATCAAAAAGATTACAAAAGGTCCACAAGGATCCAAAAGGGCGGACAATAACAATAATTTTCGATCGATTCGATACGTAAGTTGTAAACCCTGCACCTCTTATTGCGGTGCCAGGCCCCGATTAAATTGGCTCGCTTTATTCCGTTTACACTAGTAAAATTCACCGGAGCCGAGTGTAAAAGTGGTAATCTTTAAATAAGTACATTGCCTACTATCTCGGATTTATTGATCTTTCTTCATGTTTAGTTCTTAGCAAAATGATATAAAAAAAAATTAATTAATTATTGAAATCGATAAAACAAAACAAAGTAAATTTTAAGACGCTTTGTTAAAAAAATTCGTGCAATATTTTAAGTGATAAAAAAATACATAAAAAAAATACATAAAAAAACCACATTGCACAGAATTTCATTGGACTGACGTGCAATAATTTGAGCAAACAATATGACGAGTAAGTAAGCCTAAGTATACTCGATACCAAGTAAGTTTCGTTGAAAAAAAGAAGAGAAATCGTGCCTTTTGGTGAGCAAACAATATGACAAATAAGTAAGTATTCAAATAAGGTGTCCAATATCAATCAAAAACAACGCAGATATGGAATTTGAAATTTGAAAAGTGTCAAAGGTATTTGAAATTGCACTTCACTAAGGATACGAAAATATGTCAAATTTGGGATTTGGGTTAACTTCTAAATCTACCACAAGATTAAATTTAAAAAAAATATGCGTCGGTCTAAGCTTTACTAGCTCCATTAATGAGGGCCGGTTGGAACATGGCGTAATTATAGCTTCTTCTTTTCCTGAAAAAAGGCACATGAAATGAAATGATAATGAATCACAAAAAGATGAATAAAAATACGTTTATAACCAGACAGAAATAGTTGCGTCTAAGTACGTCCTGCGTCCACATTTTCAACATTTTCAACATTGCATGTAAGTATGCTTATCTTGAGCGTCACCTGCTTAATTCAATTCCTTAGATTCATTACAGACCAGGGATCCGCGGTGGCTCAGTGAGTTAGACGCTTGATCGCTAAATTGAAGGTCCAGGGTTCAATCCCGACATAGGTCGAGATAATACCTTCGGATTTTTCAATCCGGTTCCCCCCTGTCAGTGATGTAGGTAAGAGGGGCTGACATAGAGATAGCGTCTAGTCGTTCGGATGGAACAATAAACCGAGGCTCCATGTACTACAGGCTGTGCACGTTAAACATCCCTGACAGTTGGAAATTGAAATAGAGTAGGATAATGCTGGCAAAATTACTCTCATTGCACACTACACGGTGTCTTCATTAGCCCACATGGTGCAGAAAAGTAGGACGTAAAACTCCATTCATTTTTTTTTTCATGACTCACCTGCATTTGCAGAGTGCCATTGCTGAAACGGTGACAACTGTAATGGCTACGAGTAATAGAGTAACACCGGAGAGTATGGTATTTCTTCTGGATAATCGAAGAACTGAAAATAAGAGATTAGTATCAATTTCATTCAAGTGATACTACGTCTTAGAATGAACATAAAATTTAAGTTCTGAAGAATGGTCAATATGAGTATAAAATCTAGAAAATTCATAAAACTAAGTAATTATTGAAAAACTCTTAATCTTAATATTAAGCGTTTTTCAATAGTTAATTGCATTTTTATTAAGTTTTTTGGATTTATCGGATTATATAAGGATCCTGTTATGTTATTTATGACACCAGGTATATCTACTGATGAATATATGCTCTTATTGGCCAAGTTTAAAATGTTTAAATTTTATTTTTATTCTAAGACGTAGTATCCCTTTAATTCACATTTATATATTTTTTTTTCTAATTTTTTAATCACCGTAAGATTAGTAGCAATTTCATTAATCTACAAATATTTCGTCTGTTTTTTCTGTGGATACTTGACAAAATAAAATATCCGGTATGGTGAATCAAGTAAAAAAAAAAAAACATATTGAATCAAGGTAAGAAAAATCATTATATTTCTCAGTTAGAATAACAAAATGTTTTCAATGGCGTTACAAATCCTAAATAGTTAATTACTATTAATAACAAGTCGAGTCCCAAATTTCGGAAAGATCCTTGACTTGTTCGGGAAAGGCCTTATGAGTTTCTACTTACGGTGTCTGTATCTTCTCTCCCAATCATCTGCTGGACGTGGTTCATAGGTAGTTGAGTACCACCAAGGACGAGTGGTTCTATCCCACCAAGGACGAGTGGTTCTGTCCCACCAAGGTTGGGTGGTTCTGTCCCACCAAGGACGAGTGGTTCTGTCCCACCAAGGGCGAGTGGTTCTTTCCCAATAAGGTCGTGTGGTCCTGTCCCACCAAGGTCGTGTGGTCCTGTCCCACCAAGGTTGGGTGGTTCTGTCCCACCAAGTACGAGTGGTTCTTTCCCAATAAGGCCGGGTGGTCCTGTCCCACCAAGGTTGGGTGGTTCTGTCCCACCAAGTACGAGTGGTTCTTTCCCAATAAGGTCGTGTGGTCCTGTCCCACGAAGGACGAATGGTTGTTTCCCAATACGAACGCGTGGTCGCGCCATTTTCTCCATGTCCATGCATACCCTGGCCAGTTGTGGGAGTTTGACTCTTATGTGGACATTCCTTGCTGTTTCCTAAAACAAAAGACATATTATGATTGTCTCTGAATGTGGTCCGTAGTGTCTTGATCCGAAATCCTAATTCAAATCATGACGTCACTATCGCAAGTACCATTAACTGGCTATGTCCCCTACATATATGATAGTTTAAAATAATTTTCGGAATCTCTAACGGTAACCATATTTCCAAATATAGCTGGCCTAGTGTGTCCCTTTTTTTAAAAAAGAATTAATTTGGCATCATGAAATGACCTCTTTTCAGTTTGAAATGTAATTATAGTATACGATCTTACCGAAGCAGTAGCGAGTAGAACAATCCTGGGTTGGTGCTAGATAATAAGCATAAAAAGACGTGCAGTTTAGGACGAAGATCGGAAATGTCTTTTCACAACAGCCGGATGTTCCGGCCATACACACTGTCAACTCTACGATATCTTCACTTACTGATGGCAGAGAGCCTGAAATAGATTGAATGGATATAAATGTTTAATGAGAGTCAAAATACACAGTTTGGATACAATTAATGAATGAGAGTCAAAAATAGATTGATTGGATACAATTAATGAATGAGAGTCAAAAATAGATTGTTTGGATACAATTAATGAATTAGAGTCAAAAATAGATTGTTTGGATACAATTAATGAATGAGTTAAAAATAGATTGATTGGATACAATTAATGAGAGTCAATTAGATTGTTTGGATACAATCAACGAATGAGAGTCAAAAATATCAATGAATGATTGATTGAATAGATTGATTGGATACAATTAATGAACTGTTTGGATACAATAAATGAATGAGAGTCAATTAGATTGTTTGGATACAATCAACGAATGAGAGTCAAAAATATCAATGAATGATTGATTGAATAGATTGATTGGATACAATTAATGAACTGTTTGGATACAATAAATGAATGAGAGTCAAAAATAGATTGCTTGGATACAATTAATGAGAGTCAATTAGATTGTTTGGATACAATCAATGAATGAGAGTCAAAAATATCAATGAATGAGAGTCAAAAATATCAATGAATGAGAGTCAAAAATAGATTGTTTGGAATGAGAGTCAAAAATAGATTGTTTGGATACAATTAAAGAATTAGAGTCAAAAATAGATTGTTTGGATACAATTAAAGAATTAGAGTCAAAAATAGATTGTTTGGATACAATTAATGAGAGTCAATTAGATTGTTTGGATACAATCAATGAATGAGAGTCAAAAATATCAATGAATGAGAGTAAAAATAGATTGTTTGGATACAATTAATGAATTAGAGTCAAAAATAGATTGTTTGGATACAATAATGAATGAGTCAAAAATAGATTGTTTGGATACAATTAATGAATGAGAGTCAAAAATTGATTGTTTGGATACAATTAATGAGAGTCAATTAGATTGTTTGGATACAATCAATCCAATTTTTGAATGAGAGTCAAAAATAGATTGTTTGGATTGAGAGTCAAAAATAGATTGTTTGGATATAATTAATGAATGAGTCAAAAATAGATTGATTGGATACAATTAATGAATGAGAGTCAAAAATAGATTGTTTGGATACAATTAATGAATTAGAGTCAAAATTAGATTGATTGAATACAATTAATGAATTAGAGTCAAAAATAGACTGTTTGGATACAATTAATGAATGAGAGTCAAAAATAGATTGATTGGATACAATTAATGAATTAGAGTCAAAAATAGACTGTTTGGATACAATTAATGAATGAGAGTCAAAAATAGATTGTTTGGATACAATTAATGAGAGTCCATTAGATTGTTTGGATACAATCAATGAATGAGAGTCAAAAATATCAATGAATGAGAGTCAAAAATAGATTGTTTGGATATAATTAATGAATGAGAGTCAAAAATAGATTGATTGGATACAATTAATGAATTAGAGTCCAAAAAAGACTGTTTAGATGGATACAATTAATGAATGAGTCAAAAATAGATTGTTTGGATACAATTAATGAATTAGAGTCAAAATCGATTGTTTGGATACAATTAATGAATGAGTCAAAAATAGATTGATTGGATACAATTAATGAATTAGAGTCAAAAATAGATTGTTTGGATACAATTAATGAATGAGAGTCAAAAATAGATTGATTGGATACAATTAATGAACTGTTTGGATACAATAAATGAATGAGAGTCAAAAATATCAATGAATGAGAGTCAAAAATAGATTGTTTGGAATGAGAGTCAAAGATAGATTGTTTGGATACAATTAATGAATGAGAGTCAAAAATAGATTGTTTGGATACAATTAATGAATGAGAGTCAAAAATAGATTGTTTGGATACAATTAATGAATGAGAGTCAAAATTAGATTGTTTGGATACAATTAATGAATGAGAGTCAAAAATAGATTGTTTGGTTAGAGTTAAAAATAGATTGTTTGGATACAATTAATGAATGAGAGTCAAAAATAGATTGTTTGGATACAATTAATGAATGAGAGTCAAACATAGATGGATTGGATACAATTAATGAATGAGATTCAAAAACAGATTGTTTGGATACAACAATTAATGAATGAGAGTCAAAAATAGATTGACTGGATACAATAATTAACGAACTAGAGTCAAATATATATTGTTTGGATACAAGGATACAAGTCCAATAAATGAATTAGCGAAAAATAAATAAATATCTCACCGTTAAACCATAAAGGATTATTTGCCCCACACTGTCCAATTTCGGGGCAAACTGTCGGCATTTCGACCGGCTTGTAAACTGGGTCTGTATCGGAATTGGCGACTACCTTGTACCATCCTGCAGGTCTTTCACTGTCACAGAGACCCGGGTGCGCTTGCTGACCACCCCTACAGGCCACGTCCCTTCCTCCATTGTCATACAGTGTTTGACTCACCCCACATACATCTATGCCTGAAATAAAATGGAGTTTTGCGTTACAGGAATCTGATATGACCTTCAGTGGGGGTACTTACACGATAATGCTTTTAAAGACGGGTTTCCTTATTTTTTAGTGTCAAATTAAGCAAACTATTTGATTTATTGGTGTTTCTAATGAATTATCATGTATTCTTAATCATATCATTATGTTCTTATTACATATAAATAAATGTTTTAACCCATCATTAATGTCCATGTATATACAGTCTGGATAAACAAAAGACTTTTTGACCTTTCTTGATCAGTCACTTATTAGAATTCTGCTGGTAATTCTCTTCTAATTTAGCTAATTATGAATTAATTATAGACATGTGAGACAAACTGGTATTTTTATAAAGTAAGTTATTAGAACACCTCTACTTTCTATTAGCATTTTTATTTTCATAAATCAACATAAGGAACCCATCTTTAACTCTTATTTGCAATCATCGAAAGATATTTATGGGACTGTAAAAAGGTTTTCTAAAATTATATGTGTTTCAGGGCACTTTACATCATTCAAATTTTCCCTCATATGTCTGAAGTTCCTGCAAATAGATATATGATGTCATCAAACTTAGCGAAATTACAAGACATACAAACAACTCAGTGTAGACTCCTTAGAATCCCTTTAACGTGCCCGTTGCACACAGGGCCTAGATTTATTGTTCAATCAAAAGTGTAACCTACATTAATAAATTATGCATGTCAGCATTCTAAAGCATGCGCAATAAGACGCATAGAAAACCGGGTTTGTTCGTCTGCAAACACAATGACGTAGCATTATTATTATTGAGTAATATTCTATAAATAATCCCTGACTCACTTCTGGTAAAAACAAGTCTATATTATCTGTTATTAGTCGGTCATGTGATATATCATTAGTAGGCCTATATAGACTATCGTTCAATATTATCATTAGACGTTTATTACAGACAACAAAACTGTTATTGACAGCAGATAATCTTGCTTATTACCAAAGTTCCGCTGGTAGAAATGGTTTTACAAAACTCATTTATCCATGTTAAGAAGGATGTTTCTTTATACCGCATTACTCCAGTCAACGTGTAAATGGGTAGCTGAGAGAACGGGTTCACAAAAAGCCAACCAAGCCATCTTTGTACGCTCTACCTGCTTTGTAAGGTTACGGATTATATTGTGCAATGAAGCGATATTCCCTATATTCATACAATGTACTATGCTATTTAATACAAACTGATACTTTTTGTCCCATCTAGGCACCCACATTTCAATTAACCCCGCCCATCCAATCCCACCCACCACCCATACTTGGCGTCTTCGTGAAAATGCAATAAAAAAAATTTAAATGCTCTCTATAAATGAAGACTAGAATAGTGTATTCGCTTATGAAGAAAACAACAAGATTTTGAATATAATTACGCCTACTCACGTTTTCCTTGTCCTAAATCCGCTCCAAATAGAGTGAGAACAAGGCATAATGTTAATTTTAACATCTTAATATTGTTTTTAACAGCAGAACCCTGTTAATTCTACTCTAATTCCTCCTGGTTACATGGTTTAACTTCCGTCTAGAGTAAAAGTAGGATATCACTGGACCCTTGATACGCTTCAAATCAATTCGAACGACTTTCAATGAGAACAATGTTATTTTTATATACGTTAACCTACCGCATTACACAGGGCCTTGTTAATATTCTATATTGATTTCCGTCCATATTTACTTTCTGATTACTTAAGATTATTACAGTTGAAATATGCTAACACACCTATTGATATACGTCAACCTAGCGTATTACCCAGGGCCTTGATAATATTTTATACTGGATGTATGCCCATATTTACTGTTTGATTATTGAACCCAAATATGCCCCTTCATACTTGGTATATTTTTGAAGGATATTTGTTTTATAAAGGCTATACGAGTCAGAAGACAATTTCTAGCATAAAATTATTGTCAAATTCTAAAGACAAGGAAAAGATGAATGGAACAATAAACCGAGGACTCATGTGTCACGTAATGTGAACCATCTACAG